TCAGTTGTACCAAAAACAAACAAGATTGAAATATGGCCCAACCATGATAAACTTATATGTATACACCTTTTAATTGAATTAATTCCCTCAATGTACTCCTCGTCTGTTGGTTCAGCTAGTGAAAGGGTTAGACTCTCTTACCAAAAAGAAGGGGTTCGATTTTAAGGAGTGTCACTTTGTTATGACTCTAGTCGTGGCTTTGGGAAATGCATCACCACAGTATGGTGAAGTTGGGAAATTCCCACTCCTTGAACCAGAAAAAAAGGCTTGCTTGTCATGTTCTTGTACCTGTAAGGACAAATCTCAATGGATCAAGCGTTAGATGCCTTATCCTGCCCTATTCTTGAATCATGGATGAGCCCAACTCCTTTCCTAAAATTTATGTACAAAAAAAAAACTCTCAATATGTACCCAAAAAAAAAAATAACTTCTCTCAGTATAAGATTTTTAGACAACGAACCATTAAATACATATCATATCGTCTAGGCCAATCCATAATTATAGTCTATAAGTCATGTCATATGATTAGTATCTGTATTTTAATTATTATAACTCAAAAGCACTATCATATATCACATGAACTTACACCTATATATTTTTTAAACCGTCACTGGCATCATCACTTTTTAAAAGAAAGTAAAGATCCTCAAGGGGCTTCTTCTAGAATGAAAGCAACGTTAATTTATTTATTCATTGATTAAAAAATAATCTGCATTTAAAATTTAGAATGACAATTATTAGTTGTAGCTACCTAGGCTCAACCTACTTGGCTGAAGAATCTATACAAAAATTTTAGGGAAAATCACTAACAGGTCCCACAGAAGGCAATTTATTACTCTGAGGTCCCACGAAATGTCAAAATCACTGACAGGTCCCAAGGGACCTCAGAGTAATATTTTTGTTTTGTAAAATGACATTACTGCCCCTCATATTCCAGATTCACATTTGCTCTATCATTACGATTTACAACCTCAGCAGCGACTATTAACAACCTAATGAGAGGGCGTTAACAACCCTAGCAGTATCCGTTAACAACTGACTTTATAGAATTATATAACCTCTACATAAGAGTAAATTATAACCAAATAATATAATACAACAACTTTAACACTAAAATGGGAAGCTTTTTGATATCATTAAGAATTTTAACTAGATCCAATAGGATTATAGTAATATTTTAATGCGAATATCCATTTACAATTTCAACAGCGATTATTAACAACCGAATGAGAGGGCATTAACAACCTAAGCAGTAGCCGTTAACAACTTACTTTATATAATTATATAACCTCTGCATAAGAGTAAATTATAACCAAATAGTATAATACAACAACTTTAACACTAAAATGGGAAGCTTTTTGATATCATTAAGAATTTTAACTAAATCCAATAGGATTATAGTAATATTTTAATGCGAAGATTCATTTACAATCTCAATAGGGACTATTAACAACCGAATGAGAAGGCATTAATAACCTAAGCAGTATCCATTAACAACTTACTTTATAGAATTATATAACCTCCGCGTAAGAGTAAATTATAACCAAATAGTATAATACAACAACTTTAACACTAAAATGGGAAGCTTTTTGATATCATTAAGAATTTTAACCAAATCCAATAGGATTATAGCAACATTTTAATGTAAAAATCCATTTACAACCTCAACAGTAAGTATTAATGACCTAAGGAGAATTGTTAAACCTTAGCAGTGTCTGTTAACAACTAACTTTATCGGATTATATAACTTCTAACTACAACTAACTAAACTATAACTAAATAGTCTTAAAGTTAATCTTATATAGTTGTTAGAGGTTATATTATCCTATAAAGTCAATTGTTAATAGATACTGCCTAGATTGTCAACAGCTCTCTTTGGGTTATTAATACTCACCATTGAGGTTGTAAATGGATCTTCGCATTAAAATGTTGCTATAATCCTATTGGGTTTAGTTAAAATTCTTAATGATATCAAAAAACTTCCAATTTTAGTATTAAAGTTGTTATATTATACTATTTGGTTATAATTTACTCTTATGCGGAGGTTATATATTCTATAAAGTAAGTTGTTAACGGCTACTGCTTAGGTTGTTAATGCCCTCTCATTCGGTCGTTAATAATCGCTGTTGAGATTGTAAATGGATATTCGCATTAAAATATTACTATAATCCTATTGGATCTAGTTAAAATTCTTAATGATATCAAAAAGCTTCCCATTTTAGTGTTAAAGTTGTTGTATTATATTATTTGGTTATAATTTACTCTTATGTAGAGATTCTATAATTCTATAAAGTAAGTTGTTAACGGATACTGCTAGGGTTGTTAACGCCCTCTCATTAGGTTGTTAATAGTCGCTGCTGAGGTTATAATTCGTAATGACGGAGCAAATGTGAATCTGAAATATGAGGGGCAGTAATGTCATTTTACAAAACGAAAATATTACTCTGAGGTCCCTTGAGACCTGTTAGTGATTTTGACATTTCGTAGGACTTCAGAGTAATAAATTGCTTTCTGTGGGACCTGTTAGTGATTTTTCCAAATTTTAACAGCACCTAAGTCAACAAAATCTACAGTGATGTAATAGTTGTCAATGATGTTTTGCTTTAAGATACTGGCATATAGGAGTTGATTAAAAAATTAATTTTGATTCTTTATATAAAATTTTAATTTATTTTATTTTTTATATTTATTATTTTTTAAATTAATTTATTTACATTATAAATTAATATATAATTTAATGTTACATATGAGCATTTTATAAAGGTTATGTCATATTTAATAAAATTAAGTAATTTATTTACATTTCTTAATTTATCCAAATTATTTTTATAACTCTTATAAGGTTAACGTAAATCTCTTGTTTAAAAATTTATCAAAGATTTGGTCATTAACAGTATATAGTATTATTGTGCGATTCATGTAACCAGCTTGATTCAGGAGAATAAAGTTTGTTGCATGTATAAAGCTAACCAAAACCGATGTTCATAAAGAACCATCAACCAGCTTCTGAAATAAGACTAACATACTACTTCCGATACTAATTACTACCTCTGATCCTAATTATAAGAGCCATTTGACTAATTTAAGGAGATTAAAGAAATAAGTTGAGTTAGTTATTTGTCCTAAATAGGTATTGTTTTTCCTAAAATATCTTTACTAATCAAGTGTATTGACTAAAACTATAATTATTAGAAAGACTATTTTAGAAAAAAATTGAGTAAATATGAGATACAAAGTAGATTGGGGTCTTATATTTAAAACTAAAATAAAGATCAAATAAGGTTTTATATTAAGAACCAGAGGTAGTCTAAGATCTTATTTGTATATAAACGAGTTCTTATAATTATAACTGAAAGTAATATTATTGATACGATAACGATGATAATAATGCACAGTAAGTGTTAAAATAATAGAGAGTGAGGCATATACAATCTGCGATCGAACCTCTTTTTAGCTCGAAAACGATTTAAAAAGATCTTGAGCCTACTCTTCACAATGATGACTACCATAGCCCTATACCAGTAGAGAAGAATAAGAGAGTTTCTTTGAGGGCCTTACTTTAATATTTTGCACACCAGGATTATTCCTAAAGCATTACGATTGTTATAATTGCTTCCATTATGATCTTCATCATCATTATCAACAAAACTATCTTTTTCACGTTATATATACATTACTTACCCACGATTCTGCATCAGCTAAATCATATCAAATATGCTTAAGAGAGGTAGTAGAGCCATATCAATGATTTCAAGCTCTGCGTTGCTGGCTGGGTGGTGTCTTCCTCGGAGGCGGCTCCGGCGACGGCGAGGCTGCACTATACTGCTGGGGAATCGACGGCGGGGGTTCTGCCTTGGATCACGGCCGGTGGTTCAGTGGGGGGTCATGGGGCCTCTGAGGATGTTGAAGAAGATCATAATGGAGATTGCTCCAAAGGGACAGTTCATTGAGGTATATTGTAGGTATCTGCCATTACTGCGTCCCCAGCTCTTTCCGCTTTGTTGATCACAAGAAAGGGTTCATTAAGGAGCAAGAAAAAAAAAGAGGAGAAACCCAGGAATTTCATTTTAACTGCTGTCGCTCATGTAAAATGTTATAACATCTATATATTGATCTTCTTTTTCTTTTAATTTTTGCCCTCCGTGCGTTTTCCAGAGCCATTAAAACTTTTGGAGAAAAAAGATGGGTAAGGTACAAATTTGCCTCAAAAATTTTCATTTAAGAACACTAAACACCTAAAAATTTTTTACATGCAAATTTATTCCAAAAATTTAAAATTGTAGCAAGATTACCTTTGTCGTTAAAAATTTTAACGGTTAATATTACTATTTCAATAATCAATATTAGTTTTTTTTAACGATAAGGGGTAATATTATTATAATTTTAAATCTTTAAAACAAATTTGTATTTAAGAAAATTTCCAGGTGCCGATCATTCTCAAGTGAAAACAATTTACATTTTACCCCAAAAAAATGCATATAAATATAGTACACAAGTTGATTCGATTAGGTTGGACTTTCAAAAAGTGTTTTAAAGAACCTGAATATCAATTTACGCATGCAAATAATAATTTATATGTAAAATGCATTTAGAAGGTGGAAGCACCTAAAAGTGCTTCTCCACAAAACGAAATAAATTCCTCCACGTATTTATTTCGTATATCGTAAAAATATTTTTAAAATCATGATTTGATTTCTACTCAAACACTTCCTTGTTAGAAATGAATAAAGCACTTCAAATGAACTTCAAATTACATAAATTGTTGCGTTGTCATATAACTGCATTTGTGCTCTGGTATTCATGCCTTGGCACGCGCGCTAGCATCTTAACGAATCTTTACACACTTCCGGTTAATTTGTTAAAGAAGTTGACAGAAAGTTACTGGCAAGCAAGGGCAGTTTGCGACAGATAATAATCTACCTGTCGTTGGGAGTAATACTTTCAGGGATGCATCATTTACAGACTTCAAAATTATGAGAAAGAACCTGGAAAATTCATTGAACCCACGAAGGGGGGGGGTGTTCTGTCAGATCTCGAATGTTAACCACAGATTAGAGGCCCCACATTAAGATTAGAGGAATATTATAGTAAGAAGCGTTACTGAATGTGCCTACACCAACCAAAATAAAGCGACATTTCATGATTCACATCATTGATAGAACAAAACAAACACAGAAATCTTAACACAACAGCAAGCTAGATTAGCATTTTCCGAAGTATGAAAATAAGGATGATTGTTTATCATCCGCAGCATTCTTCACTTTTTCCTTTTTCTTCACAGGACTTGTGCTCTCCTGAACAGTTTCATGAGAAGCTGGCTCTGAATCTGCTTTAAAGGCCTCATAATCACGCTTGATGTGGTGCTTTGCAACATCATCTTTATCATAGTTACATTCTCTGGTTTTTTTGTCATCATCTCCCTCCTCAGTTTCAGGCTCCTCCTTCTGGGTTTTTGGCAGCTTTTCAGTTTTGACAGGTTCATGACTTGGTACTCTCTGCTCTGGCTTTGAGTCTTCAGCTCCTTTTTTTGTGAAGAACTTCGAAATCGAAGCATTCCTTTCTGTCTTTAGCTGAATCTGAGAAACATGGGACTATGAGAAGTTGAACATCCTACAAATCATTATGATCAATCAACCTGGGACGATGTTACGTTTTCTTGTTTGAAAAAAAAGAAAACTACATATAACTCCCCCAACAATAATTGCCCAAGCATTACCAAAGAAAAAAATGATGGTCTTAGATATAACTTAAGATTAGCTTCTGAAGTCATGTCATTTTAACATGATAATACTTCTATTCTATGTCTCTATCATCTTCCATTTTTTTTTTTTTTAACCTTGCATGACAAATGACATGCTAATTACGTGGCTTTTAGATGTTAATTTTAACTTGTACGTAACAATTAACATTTTTACTTCCTGTTATTGCTAAGGAAGATAGTGCTAAATTTTTTCATATTAATACTATATACACCCTGGTGGTACCTCCAGTTTTTAATATAATTTGATAACTAATTTGGAGATATTAAGAAAATTAGCTAAGTTGGTTATTTGCAACAAATATGTGTTGGTTTTCTTAAATTACCTTCTTCAATTATATGCATCGAAACTACTCTTTGATGGAAACTCTTTACAATTAATAGAGATACTTTAAGAAAGAAATTATAAATTTAGAAAACAAATGGATTGATATCTTATATTTATAAATAAATCCAACTCTTAATTAGCTTTTATATTAAGAACAGGAATATAATAAAATAATAGTCAAGTTGATTTTGATATTTAAATATGGATAATTGATTGTAATTAAATTATGCAGAATTGTATGTCGCCCCTTCTTCAACAATGCATGGGATGTTTTTGAGTTTAACACAAGAAGAATGAAAATACTCAAACTTGTAACCCTATCCAAATTCCTACTTAACTTACCTAACTACTTAAGCCTAACTCCGAACTATAACATGGGTCCCATACACATCATTGACAATAAATAGTGCCACAAAGAAAAACGGCAGCATATTTTATTTTAGTTAAACAACAAGAACATTGCTATCAAAGCTTTCTGGATGACCTGTATGCATCCAACTACTGGCCAAAACTTTGCCTCTCAGCAAATTTCTACTTTACGGAACAAAAGAGCGCAATATTTGGCAATTCTATGCATTTTATTTTCCAGTCTACAAAGGAGAAATTAAAAGCACTACAAGTAAAAAAAGTACGCAATCTAATGCAATAGCAGGCTTGGATTCAATTCTAGGTGCCTTGTTTACCAAACTAAAGGTTTGAATCCAATGCTATCAACCATATTTGAGATATCCAATTCTAGGAGTTTTCTCTAACCAGTAATGATAGGAACAAGCACCCTTTACTATTATTATGTTTTATGTTTTATGTCTATTATGTGATTTTGTATTAGCCATCATAAGTGTCTTATGTCAGTTATTTTAAGTTAGTGTCAGTTTTACAAATGTCCTATGTCAGTTATTTTAAGATAATGTCAGTTAATGTCAGTTCTATATGTTTAGAAAAGAGTAGTTATTTGCATTTACTGTATTAGGCTGTCAATATTAGACATGTATTCTATCAATGACGTGGATGAATGAATGATTATACAGTTTCCTAACTTTCTCCTCTGTTTCCCTAGAATTAGATTCTGGTTCTAGTCTCTCCCTTTTCTCTCCCTCTTCCTTTCTTCTTTTCTCTCTATTTCTTTTATTCTTCTTCTCTCTTTTCTAGAATTACAGATTCTGGCTCTAGAATTCTTCTTCTCTACTCTTTCTCTTCCCTCTCTTCCCCCTTTCCCCTATTTCTACTTCTATTTTCCATATTCTAACAAGTAATCTCCATCTCAAACGAAATTTAACAGGACGCACCTCTTTTATGCACTCAGGTCCATCAAAAGATGGCTTGCCCATTGCAGGTGTGACTGGATACCAAGCCTGCAGATTAAAGAATTTGGAATACCAACAATAGCAGCAGCAGCAGTTGTAATAATTAAATAACTATATTTTATAGCTTTCATGTCAAGAAAGGAAAAAAATTTCCTTTCACGAAGACAAAAACTACAACTCTCATCCCGAGAAAAGAGAGAAAAAGAGAGAAACATGGAAAAGTCATTTATTGCCTCAAATTCTCATTGCAAAAGTTCGTACCAAATCAGATTCCTCATATGGCTTGAGCAATGCCTTGTGATTGGAAGAATTGTTTAGCCAGGAATCAGTAGAACACTTGTCACCTAAAATAACAGGCATTCTATCTACAAAGGCACATTAAAATATAGTCAACGTATGTAAGTCATAGTCATTAAGGTAATGATTCTCTAGCAAAAGATGAAATTTCCCTACGACAGTGGTATAAGTAAATCAACATATCTAAAGATATGCCAACTGCCAAGCAATTCGAACTCATGAAAACAAAAGGATTAAGTGACATCCGTTGGTTTCAATGTACATTGGACTTCATATTACTGTGTTCTTTAGATAAGCAAAGTGTTTCATTTTACAAGACAAAAAAGAGCACACAAAGTACACGGAATTTTTCCAAGACCAAGAAAGCAAAATAAGCTAATAAGCTGCAGAAGAGATGTATCAATAGAATCCTCCAAAGATCTTGTACTACTTATGAAAGTTATAGTTCCTTCTGTAAGAACAGAGATAGAGATCCGAATTTCTAGCAAAGTACTTACAGGAGAAAAATAATGTAGATTTTCTTTTTTGGGTCTGACCAAAATGTCCAAGCAGAATGGACTTGTTACGTATAGAATAAGATGATAGCACAGGAAAACGCCACTGGGGAACACGGCATGGAAAAAATCGCTAGGGAGAAATAGAATAATATGCAAGAGAATTAGCCTCCCATATTTGCTGATAAAATTTCATGCAAGGACAACTTGCAGACTATCTTAAAGACATAGGCTTACAACCATAATAAGGGGTTGCTATTGATTTCTTATATCATTTGAACATACATAGCGTTTTCAAAGCCAATGAAATAAAATTTTATGCCATGTCAACGTGCAGGAGTGGAGTGCACCGCTTACCATGCAGCCACTGGAGGGATGAAGATGACGAGGTTGTGAGAATAGTGAATGTATAAAGCATCTCACCTGCAGAAAAGAATATTGCTATCTTCATCCAAAAGTAAGCAATATTTATATTGTTGTTCCTGAGATAAAATGCAAATCTCATTCTTCATCTTTCTTCAGGAATCTTACCTTCAGAATTTTGCCAAGAATCATAAAGAGCAGCAAAGACAAGAGGGCGTCCATCTTTGAAGTGAATGTAGTAGGGCTGTTTTCCTGATCCACCTTTCTTCCATTCATAAAATCTTAAATATATGCATATATAAGTCTCGGTTGACAGAATGGAACCATCAGAAACACAATAGACTACAATGATAAGTAAGTAGAAAATGCATATAATATATCTACCTTCACGACACATTTAGTTTTATACGTGTAAACTATGTTTTTATTTCTGTTTTCTGGTTATATTTACTATCAGGCTATTACTACTACTGACAGATTATATGACCTATGCATTCAGGAATAAAAGGTTGCAGTATGAAATTTTCCTCTCAATCATTCTTCGTAAAGATTCATCCTTAATATCGTTTTGTTGCCAGCTCAAAAATGGACAAAAAGACAAACCAAACATGGAAATGCATTCCGATAGCTATTACTCAGTGCAGCTGCTCAGGGACTATAAGGATGAATATCAAAATTAACCACCAGACCAGCCAGCTATGACTTCAACTATGATGAAACTTATTAATTCAAAATCGACTTGAAAGGCAATTAATAAACCAAGATCTTATCTATACCTCAAAATTTGAAATGCATACCGCAATATCAAAGCCTTAGAGGAGACATCAACAGGATTTTGAAAGAATTATTCAATAAATAGGAAGTATTTCTAGTTCATGCAAAAGCCGACAATAATAAAATATTGTGATTTCATAAAATGGTTATAATTGAAAACATACCCTTCTACTGCCACAAGGCACCTGCATTTGGGAAGAAGACGGCGAAATGAAGCTTTTTCACCAACGGATTCAGATCGAGCATTGAACTGAAATACATAGCACACAGTAATATAAATAAATGCGACTCAAGGGGTATGATTTATTGCTGTCTTTTCTTGAAGTTAAAGAACTCTAGGGATTATTCAAGAACACCCTGATACATATACCATCGTACATTTTTTGTACTAAACTGATATTTCCAAGCCATGGAGTATCAAACTACAAAGATATGTCATTTTCCCAACAAAAAATATCAGAAAGAACAAAACAGCAAATTGCTCATAGCTTGCAGGAAAAGAAAAGGGGGAAAAAATAAAAACATATATTTAAAAATATAAACAAGGAAGCTAACGAGAAATGATTAGAACGTTTTTTCACCCAAAAAAAAAAAAGAAAAAAAAGAAAAGAAATTATTAGAACGATATTATACATAGACATGACGGGAAGATTTCAGATTGAACTACTTCAACCATTACGAGGAAGACTCATCTTCAAATCCCCTCCCATATGAAATAAATAAAGAAATTATTACTGCCCGTAATTAACCAGATTAAAGAGGTATTAACTTACCATCTTGTAGTGATCAGGTTTCTCTGTTTTCTTGGTGAAACTGGGAACTAAACCCCACTTCATGCAATGAAGAACACATCCTTCGCTATCAGATGCATCGTCTCTACGAACTACTGGCAAGTTATATCCCGGAGATACATTATATGATGGTCTATACCTGATCATGCGTCCAAATTCAATATCACAAGTTCGCTCGATAGCTTACGAGTTCGAAATCAAATTCAGAACCCATATGAAGTGAACACAAAAGTGGCAGCAAACATAAAATCCCCAACTTCATTTCTCTTTAACTGGCTGCTCGACCGTTGACAAAATAGTCACGACTAAAAACAATAAGAATTTTCTTTTTGGAAAAACAAAGCCAGAATAACCTATTATTTATAGTTTCAAAAGCAAAGTAAGATCCGGAAACAAAAAAAGAAAGCTAACCGGTCCATGTTGACGGAACGAACGGGACCACTGCGATGACAAGCCCGAGGGAAGTCATCGTTTCTCAGAGTACAACGAGCTCTCCCACACATCGCTCTGCCTCAGAAAATGATTTGGATTCCCCAAGAATGTCCGAAGTGTCACTTTGGGCAACTGAATAAAGGCGGGAAGGGAGGGAAGACTAGTGCTCCGCCATTTTTCCGGTGCTTACAGGCACTCCATAGAAGCCGCTTGAAGACCGTCCGATGAAAATCCCCTGTAGATTCGACCTCTTGTGGACCCTACTGCCAAGTGTCCAAGTTGAAAGACCAAAACGTTGTCGTTGCTATTGGATTCTCCGAGCAATTGACCCATGGGGCTTTTGACGTTTGACCTTTGACTTTGAGAGTACTCCATCTCAAAATTTCTGGAAAAAGAAAAAGATATACACACCTTTTTATTCTTAATATAAAAACTAATTAAATAATTTAAATGAATTAAAAACATTTGTTAAGTTAGTTATTTTTAAAATGTTTTACTAATTATATATATTAGTTAAAATTTTTAATATATACGACTATTATAATAATTATTTTGTAAAAATAGATAAATATAAGAGATAAAGCAAGATAAAGTTTTATATTTAAGAGTAAATTGAATATTAAACTAGGTTTTTAATATTAAAGACCTGACTTAGTATTAAAAAAAAAACCACAGTTAAAACAAAATAATTTTGAGGAGAATGAAATATGATATACACGAAGCAAAAGGCATCTAACTTCTATCCAACGTTTAAAAATACTAATAGAGTCACTTTTTCTGCTCACTTCAGATTTGCTTCTCATTCTAGGAATTTTAAGATATTAAGCTAAAGAATTTTAAAAATAAAGAATTACATAGTAAAGGTTTAAATTTTAATGGTACTAAAAAAGTAACATTTTTTGGCCAACAAAAAAATTACCATTTAATACCATAATTCGTGAATAATAAAACTTAAAAAAATTGACTATATCTATATGTATTGCCTCCACTTTTATTTGTGACATCTTATTTATACACTACAAATTTAAATTTATAAAACGACATCTTGTAAACATGGGAGCGAGGTAGCACTATACATTGATACACCCAGCAACCCATCCACACAGGCGCGGGGGCTCGGAGGCCAGGGCTGTAGAATTTTCCTCCAAGAACGAGGTCGGGTCCGTACAAATCTGAGCTCGACCCATTCCGGTCGTGGAAGGTATTGAATTATTCATACTCAATCCGACCCGAATGCGGCGCTGAAACGATTGTTACCGCCTTTCCCCCCGGTCATGCTTTCACTCACGAAACGACTTCACGCCGTGGTGCCATGCCTCGGCCGCGATGGTTATCAATTCCGGTCTGCTCGACCCTACGCTAGATGGCGGCCCAAGTCTCCGCCCCTTCCGTTACAGAAGGCGGAGGCGAAGTCTGAGTGGTGGATAGTCGATGGCGAAATGCACGAGATAGGCGATAACGTGCCCTTGCGCGAGCGCTTTGTTATTCCCAGAGATAACATCCCAAATAAGCGTCGGAAGCAGCTGAGGGAGCAGTTCATGCGTAGGACTCGCCTGGTTCTCAAGGAGTCGGTTAGCCCCTGCTACTTCAAAATCAAACCAAAGAGAATGTTGTTATAGATATTCTTGTACTCTTGTGATTTTCCTTCTTTTTAAGCACGTCTTTAGTTTCTTTGGAAAAGAAAAAACCACTACAAAGAAATAAATAACGCTTGACTGGGGGTGGAGTAATACTGACTGATGATGATTCTGGATCTGATTTTTCTTTTCTTCAGTACTGTAAGCTAAGAAATTTGACATGCTATAAACACAAATCAAATTGTCTGGGTATATTCGGGGACGGATGGGAACATGCTAAAACTTTTCTCCTGTCATTGCCCTTCCTTTGTGTGCTCTGTTTCATTTTACATGGTCATCATCTTTCTTGGTACAAGAAATTTGATGGGCGAGCATATCATGCTCATGAGTTATTGGCTTTGTAGAATTGTTATTACTTTTGTGTGTTGGTTATGATTTATAGGGCAAAATTTAGGTAATTCTTTCTTTTTCGGGGTGTTAGCTGCCATATTTTCTAATGGCAATGTAACCCATGCATAATTTTTTTTTTTTTTTAAAATAATCAATCATTTACTGTGCTTCTTCTTCTTCTTTTTTTTGGGGGGGTGGTGGAGGGAATAATGAAAAAGCTTAAAGCAGACATTTTAAAATTCACCTACGCTTTGTCTATGTATGTTTATAAAATTCAAAACTTCCTTGATTTTGTTTTACAATGCTTCCATTTTATTGAAAGGAGCATGAGCCTTGGTGCAAAAAGTACATGGAGCTATATAATGAACTAAGAGAAAATTGGGAGAGACTTTATTGGGAGGAGGGATACTCTAAAAAAATTGCTCAAGATCATGCAAACTATGAGTCTGCTGAAGATGATGATGAGGATTTCTCCCCTTACAGGTGTGTTTACCTTCAACATTTCTGCTTCTCCTGCTAAAGGTCAAAGATGAATTCTTCTGAGATAATACGGTTTGAATTTTGCATGCATGAATTTGAGAAGACATATGTGGTTTGAAATAGATTGCCAGAGAAAGGGTCGCAACTTATTTTCAAACTTTTGCTGATCAATATTTATCAGACTAAGGGCTCTAATGTTTTAATGTAACAGTATTATTATATTTTTCTTGGTTAATTGGATCAATGGTTTAAACTCTAAAGTCTAAAGTCAATCTTGTGAATTTCATGGAATCAAGGAGATGGTGTCTGATTGTAGTGTTTTCTTCTATGTCATTTCAGGAATAGGAGGCCTTATATGCAGCATAGTCAGGTACAGTTGAATGTTTTTACTTTTAAATATACCACATAGAATGATTTTTGCCTGTAATTTTTTTGTCATGTCTCGCCCTTGTAGAGTTTTGCAAAGTGGATTTATGATTATAAGGAGATTTGGCCTGATTAGTGAGGCAATGTAGAAAGTGCCATGAAAATTACTTGAATTTTGGGTTTCATTAAGTTTTATGTATAAATATGGCGTTACTTTTGGGTTTTTTTGTTTTTTTTTCTTTCCAAAACTTGTAGTGACCCTATGTCTTCATTGCAACATGATGGCGCTCTCTAAACCCCACCTTGAACGGGCGAGAAGTGGTGTCTGTTGTTGTTACGGCTATCTCTGTTTCTAAGATCAGTTGAGGAATGTTCGATTGATTTACCTTAATAGATGTATTTTGAGCAATTTCTAAGCATAATAAGTGTGGATGTGGTTCCATTGTTATTGTGTCATTGAAACATCTCTCTCTTGACTCTTGAATCCGGCCTTTGTTTCAGAGCCCTAGACCATAGTCATATTAACGTTCATATCATTACTAGCCCCCTTCAATGCCTGTTTGAACCAAGGATCGGAGGCAAAACTAAGATGCCATTTCGGTTCAGTTTTTGATTCTCTAATTCTTCCTGGTTGCATAGATGTTTCACTATATTTGCATGTGATGTGATCTATTATGTCTGATGACTGATTTCTAAAGCAGGACCAGAGTTTTGGAAGAAATAGGCAAGGTGGTACCTGGGAAAAAGTTAACTTTATTCGGGATAAATTTGAGTATGACAGGGAGAGAAGAATGAGAGAGAAAGGTTAGTCAAATTTTCTAGTTAATTACTTCATCATGCATCATCATTTATAAAGAAGCTCAAGCTTATATACACCTGTATTCGGTTGGCATTGCCTGCGGCAGTCTTAAGAATTTTATTGCGGGTACTTACTGTTTAGGCTTATCTTCCTAAGCTTACTTGCCCGCTGAAATGTGCATACTGTTTAATGCAATTTCCCAGCACTAGCTTGATGAGAAGCTTTCAATAGCTGACTTGGTTTGATGTGTCTGGGTTATTCTTTAATAATTTTGTTTATTACTTTTTGTCTACATAACTCGTATAGCAATCTAATGACAAACATGTTGGGAGCGTTTTAAGTTTTAGAATGATGCTGTCATCAAGTCGGGTGGAACTATGGAAATGTTACTTCATAATAATCCTAATTGATAATTACATGTTATTTGTTTTCCATTTCCACGTGAGTCTGGAAACTCTGAAATGAATTTTCATTTTTCTGTTTACAGTTTCAAGTTCTAGATTAGGTTTAGTACTCTTTATCTTTTGTATATTTCAATGCAGCATTTGCGCCCATGCATGGTGGAGCTAGGGCTGATATGCGTGATGCAGAGTCCCGGAATCAGCCACTAAATGCTGATCGATATTTTAGCCACAATGAAAGGAGTTGAGAGGAGTCATATCATATTCTGCCTGTAAGAGGAAAAAAGCGGCTTGCAATCCTTCCTGCTTCTTCACTGATCAACCCTGCAATCAATACTTGTCGCTTATCTGCTGCCCAAGTGACTTCTACAAGTTTCTGATGATTTGTTCGAAGTGCAAGATGGGGAGATTCCCAGGCCTTCCTCAAAAGGAGGAAAAACCATGATCTGAAAGGAAATATGATAAAGACACCAATCTTCTAATTTATATCCTTTATTGTCATTATTCTTGCGGTTAGAGAGAATAACGCAATAGAATGTAATGTGAGATCTACTTTATTTATTTACTCATATGCTTTCTTTCCCTTCTACTTTTTTTCTAAATGCATTATACGCCCTAATTTTTATGGTTGTAAGGGTCTATTGCCATAATTGACAATATGAATTTCTCGGCGTAATTCTAATGTTGATATATTCCATGCGGAAGTATTGGGTTTTCTAAATTGGGATTTGATGTCTTCAATTTCTTTGTGTAATTCAAGGCAACATTTGCACAGATCCGTGCATGCATAGGGGCCTAGCAGTGTTTGATAATTAAGTAGTATTCACTGAATGCTGATCGATATTTTAGCCACAATGAGAAGAGTTAAGAGGAGGCATGTCAGATTCTGTAAAATGGAAAAACTATAACATGATCGATTATTGATACTATCTCTCATTATTAATATAAGATTTGCTTGATGAATTTGGGAAGATTGAAATGGCTTAGTAAAGTACTCACTTATAACATATATGATATGATTTTTCGGAAATATTTATGTGTATTACTAAATTATATATCAAGAAAATTAGTTTAAAAAACAAGAAATATAAATATTTCAAAATAATTTATTTAGTTTTATTAATTTTTCTAAATTAATTAAATAAATTTTATATTAAGAATCGGAGCAGTAGTATATTAATATAAATCCTTCATACTCGTACATATTACGTTTTGAGAGAATAAGAAACCTTTGCATGAGACCTACTTGACATGAAAGAATATCACTATTTACATGATCTCTACTTTATTTTTTTAACACGTATTAATATTGTTTCTTCTCTCTGCATATGGCTATGACTAGTAAGGAATCCCAAATGATCAGTACTCCAACATACTTGCCGTCTGTTTCCGTCTGTCGCCAGGTTTTTCCTGGGAGAAATTGAAGAAAAGAAAATAAGATAAAAAAAAAACTAATGAAAAGTGTAGATAGAAACTCAGACTCATTATTTTTCTTGCATACTCTACTGTCTGGTTTAGAGAGACTCTGAAAGAGTACATAGCTATCAATGTTTTGTAGATTCGACCAAAAAAAAAAAAAATCCATGTGTGCGCGCCGGTAGTCATATGCTTTCTGTCCCACAAGATGTTTAGTTTTGTTTATTTTAAATGATTTTATACTATATAAAATAAAGGGAAAATGACACTAAAATACCATTTGAATTTCAAAAAGACAAATAAGGCACCTGAATAAGCAAAATGACAAAGAAGGCATCAGATGCCAATCTGGAATTTTGATTTTTGGCCTAAAGACTGAATTGCCCTTATTGTGTTTGAAAACTGAGGAGATAGAGAAAGATAGAAATCGCCTCCTCCCAGCGAAAGCAATTCCCCCCACTCAGCGAAAGAGAAACTGCCCTCACTTGGCGAAACCAATCCATCTACTCCGTGAAACTAATCCCTCCCCTCAGTGAAACCGAATCCCTCTACTCGATGAAACCAATTCCTCCACTCCACGAAACCGAACCCCCTCCAATTGACGAAACTAAATCATTCGCATCACCATTCTGTAGAGATTGTTGATTTGGTGGGTTTTGGTTGTGGGAAAGAGGATTTGTAGTGAGAGAGGAAGTGAACCGAAGCGGAAATCAGAAAATAATAGCAAGCAATTACGTAACGTAACTGCTATCATATGCCTGCTGGTTTTTGGTAAATCCCATTACGTGAATGGTAAATTTCACTATACATGTAGTTAATTATGGATTTTACAAAATACATATTGTGATTTATAACTTTTGTAGTAAAAGTGACTACTTTGTTAATGGGTTTTACAACCTGTTTTCAGGAGATAAACAACTTGTTTGTAAAAACTAATAAAATTTCACGTTAAATTTGACAAACGTATAGTGGGATTTACAACTTCCGTAGTAAAAATGACCACTTATTGAATGGGTTTTGTAACTTGTTTTCAAGGGATGGGCAGCTTGTTTCTAAAAACTAATAAATTTCCTACTAAATTTAACAAAACACATAGTGAGATTTACAACTTTCGTAATGAAAATGATCACTTCTTCAATGGGTTTTGTAACATGTTTTCAAGGGATTGACAACTTGTTTCTAAAAACCAATAAAATTTCATACTGAATTTTACAAAACATAGACTGATATTTACAACTTTTGTAGTGAAAATTATCACTTCTTAAATGAGTTTTGCAACCTCTTGTCAAGAGATTGGCAACTTGTTTCTAAAAACCAATAAAATTCCATGCTGAATTTTACAAAACATAGAGTGATATTTACAACTTTTTGTAGTGAAAATTATCACTTCTTAAATGAGTTTTGCAATCTCTTTTCAGGGGATGAGCAACTTGTTTCTAAAAATTAATAAAATTTGAAGCTGAATTTTACAAAATACATAGTGATATTTACAACTTTTATAGTGAAAATGACCACTTCTTAAATGGCTTTTGCAACCAGTTAATTCAACGTGACTACAAAAGTTGTCACTTTTATTAGTTTTTACAAACAAGTTGTTTATCTCCTGAAAACAGGTTGCAAAACCCATTAACAAAGTAGTAACTTTCACTACAAAAGTTGTAAATCACAATATGTATTTTGTAAAATCCATAATTAACTACATGTATAGTGAAATTTACCATTCACGTAATAGGATTTACCAAAAACCAGCAGGCATATGACAGCAGTTACGTTACGTAATTGCTTGCCATTGTTTTTTGATTTCCGCTTCGGTTCACTCCCTCTCTCACTACAAATCCTCTTTTCCACAACCAAAACCCACCAAATCAACAATCTCTACAGAATGGTGATGCGAATGAGTAAGATAATAGCATTTCCAACATTCTTCTTTCCTTCTTCCCGCATTTTATCAGCGTCGGTCTTCCTCTCTCCTTTCTCTCACTTTCAGCGTCGGTCTTCCAGCATTTCATCAGGGTATTTTGGTCTTTTGGCTGAAAATATTAATTCCAGATTGGTACCCAGTGCCCTATTTGGCATTTTACTTATTCAGGTGCCTTATTTGTCTTTTTGGAATTCAAGTGGTATTTTATTGTCATTTTCCCTAAAATAAACAAGGGAGTAAAGTTGTCTTATAATTTATAAATGATTAAAACTTACGTACATTAAATATAAGTTATATAAATTTGTGGTACATTTACCTATCCCAAATGACATGTTGTTTTAAGGGGTGTTTGGATTGGAAGTATTTAAAAATGTTTCTTAGAAGCACTTTTTTGTAAATAAAAATAAATTCATTTATATATTCATTTCATGCACTATAAAAATATTTTTAAAATCATGATTTTAGTTGATGTATTATATTTCCAACGTTATAGAAAGAAAAAGCATATAAAATAAAGGTGCAACTAAAACCAGAAGGAAAGTTTCAACATATGTGGGGTTTTGAGAAATAAGAAGCATACCAGGGTTAAGAAGATTCCTGAAGGCTGGAGCTGTGAAACCGTTCCCAATTTCTCTCCTTCCCAAGCTCTGCCACTATTTTTATGCTTCAGCAGATCAAGGGCTGCAGATTCAGAGCTTCAGACCCTCCTTCTGGAACATCAGCCATGGAGGGAAAAAATTGAAAATCTTTTGCGAGAAAGAGAAAGAAAAGTCGAGACCCAGAAACACAAGAACAAAACAAGAGAACAACGAAAGGAAAGACAAGGACTTGAGCGTGTAAACCAGAGAAGAAAAACGTAAGTAATGGAGTATATATATTGAAAGGTCGCTGCGTAAGTGGAGACAGAGTCCCACATCATAATGAAAACGAATGCAGTGTATATAAGACCCTAACGTTACCCCTCCCCCTTAACTGCCAAGCCAAGTGGCCATGGCTTGTAACGCATTAAGGCACTGGAACGTCGGCATTAGCTTGACCCCGATGATGACTGATTGTGTTAGCTGCTTCATGCCGGTTGATTGAACTCCTCTTGAGGAGGGGGAGCGATCATTTAGCATTGAGGATCCGGCGCCGCCGTCTTCTCTCAACGATGGCTCAGTCTCCAAGTAGGCTTACTGTAAAGAACCTTTGTCTTCTACAAACACTCTTTCAATCCTCTCCCTGCCCTCCACACATGTAGTTTTTGTTTCAACAATCAGAGAAGAGAAGTAATAATGTAAGAAACTTGGATCTTCGTCTCAACATTTTTCTCCTTTTCCTTCTCTTCATGTCTCATCCTTAAAACTGGATCAACAAATGATTAGTTGATATATATAAATATATATTAATTTATAAAATCATTGTTTTTATTTTAATTAGTTATTTTTATGTAATATTATAATTGTAATTTTAAAAATTATTAAATCTCTATTATTTATTTGTTAGTCTAATGGTGGTAGGAATGGGAAAACAATAAAAAGAAAAACAGAAAAAAAATTAAGAGAGTGTCCAAATCCTAGTTAGAAACAATTTTAAAAAAAAAAGGCCAAACCATATGTTGTTAAATAATTCAATAATAAATATAAAATTAATTTTTTTGCCATCATACATAAAATTGAATTAAATATTAATTTTACAAGAAAGATGAGCAAATTACTTATTTTACCGTTTACACCAAATTAAATTATGGACTTGTATTCTTATGAAATATGAAATAACCGTAACATAACTAGATTTTTAGCCAAAATGTTGACACATTGAAAAGGAAGGGTGATATTGTAATTTAAAGTTGCTTTTTAATTCAACTTCATTTTCCCGGCCCGGACCTCCGTGTTGTTCACTCGTCAGAGCGTCACTCTCATATTGAAATTGAAGGCCGGCACCGTATCTCCCTCTTCCGTCGTCTTCCTTTGAAATGGAGATCTGAGCGAGCCGAAGTGAACGAATCCCGAAGCAGCTATCGTCATCGAAATGAGTGGGGCAAGACTGTGCTCCTTGTTAGCTGAATTGGGGTTCGAAGATGCCGAAGGATTGGACCCTGATAGCTTCGAATGGCCCTTTCAGTACGAAGACGCACGCCCCATACTGGATTGGATCTGCACTAGCCTCCGCCCCTCCAACGTCCTCTCTCTCTCGGAGCTTTCCCAGTTACGCTTTCCTTTCTCTCTCTGTCTCTCTCCTCCTTACTCTAAAGACCCGTACTTATCTATTGTTTCTTAGTGGGATAAAATGGCATTTAACTGTGCAAATGCTTCTCCTTTAGTCTGATAATATGTGGTGGGAATATGTTGCATTAGCATCGAAGATTATACTGAGAGGAATTCCACACGGTAAGGCGAGGAGGA